CACCACCATGCCCGGCTAATTTTTTGTATTTTTAGTAGAGACGGGGTTTCACCATGTTGACCAGGATGGTCTCGATCTCTTGACCTCGTGATCCACCCGCCTCGGCCTCCCGAAGTGCTGGGATTACAGGCTTGAGCCACCGCGCCCGGCCGGGCCAGGGTATTTTTTAAAAGCTCCTCAAAGGAGGTTGTTGCACAGTGAGGTTGACAATCTCCAGGTAGCTTCCTCCTACTTCTAAACTCAAACTTAAGCCTCTCTTATTACTGCTGTAGGTTCTCTCTTGATTTCATATTAATCATCTAGTTGAAATGGGAACATTGAGGGAGGGCTGAGAAACTTCAAGGCTTGAATTTTGAACTGCCGTCGAATCAGTATATTTCATCCAGCCCTTCTGGGATAAAAGAAGGGATGTCATGATATGTAAATACTGTAATTTCTAGTATTTAGAAATCACTGGTTAATTAAATGACTCAGTTTCTTATGCTGAAGTTTCCTTCTACCTTATGGATTGTAACTAACATGATGATCAGGTGAAGAACATATTTGAAGAGATTGATAACTTGGTATGTGGACAAAGACTAGTTTCTGGAGTCAAAATCAAGTTGTATTGGATACAACTTGTCTTAGTACCCCAACTTAACGAAATGAAGGTATTGAAAAATTTTAGCGTTTTTTTTTTCAGTATTTATCTCCATGTTGCTAAATAACACGCTTATACTACTTTATTGGTTTTTCAGTTTTAGGCATTATTTATTGCCCTTTTCTGGCATTTGAGGATTTCATTTCTTCCTTTTCCTGTCCCCACCATCTGTGTTCACCCTTCTCCTCTCTCCCAACTGTATTAGGCTGTTTTGGGGTTGCTATAAAGAAATACCTGAAGCTGGGTAATTTACAAAGAAAAGTGGTTTCTTTTGGCTCACAGTTCTGCAGACTGTACAGGAAGCATGATGTTGGCCATCTGCTTCTGGTGAGCCCTCAGGAAACTTCCAATCATGGCATAAGGCAAAGGGGGAGCCAGCATGCCACACGATGAGAGGGAGCAAGAGATGGGGAGGTGCCACACTCAAGCAACCAGATCTGTGAACTCAGTGCAAGAACTCACATATCACCTCGTAAAGAACACCAAGCCATTCATGAGGGATCCACCCCCATGACCACCACCTCCCACCATGCCCCTCCTCCAACACTGGAGATTGCAATTCAACATGAGATCTGGAGGGGACAAATGTTCAAACCATGGCACCATATTTCCAACTCTAATTTTGGTTGGCTGCGTAGTTCACAATAATTACTTTTCTCTTTCTGCCCAACTTTTATCTCCCCTATAATTAATAAATTTGCCTTATTTTTTTAAATTCAATCACAAAAGATCTTTGGCTATATTGGGCTGTCTATCAGTTACATCTTAGCGTCTTCTGGGGCCTCTACTCTAGGAACACAGTGGTCATCTTAATCTTTCGTTACCACCCTGGGTGTTCCCTTTACTGTGTGTGGGGTTTTTTTTTTTTTTTTTCTTTTTGTACTGGACAGCCTTTTCCTGTGTTCCATGTTTCCTGTTTTTCTCAGTTTACATCCTCATTTTGGTGAAGCACATCCTGTGGTAGTTTTTATTTTTTTTCAGTCAAGGCCTCGCTCTGTTGCCCAGGCTCTGGAGTGCAGTGGTGTGATTTTGGCTCACTGCAGCCTCCACCAGCTGGGTTCAAATGATTCTTCTGCCTTAGCCTCCCAAGTAGCTGGGATTACAGGTGTCTGCCACCATGCCCAGCTAATTTGTGTGTTTTTAGTGGAGACAGGGTTTCGTCATGTTGGCCAGGCTGGTCTTGAACTCCTGATAGATGATCTGCCCACCTCATCCTCCCAAAGCGCTGGGATTCCAGCCCTGAGCAACCATACCTGGCTGTCCAGTAGTTTGAGAAAGGATTCATGGAAGGGAAATTCATTGAGACCTTGCTTCTCTAAAAATGTTTTAAATCTATCTTCACATATTCTCCATAAAGAATTGTGGGTTAGAAAGCATTTTCCAGCTGGGTGCAATGGCTCATGCCTATAATCCCAATACTTTGGGAGGCCAAGGTGGGAGGATTGCTTGAGGCCAAGTGTTTGAGACCCAGTCTCTTTTTTTTTCTTTTGAGACGTAGTGTCACTCTTTCACTCAGGCTGCACGATCTTGTCTCAGTGCAACCTCCACCTCCTGGGTTCAAGTGATTCTCATGTCTCAGCCTCCCAAGTAGTTGGGATTACAGCCACGAGCCACCACGCGTGGCTAATTTTTTGTATTTTTAGTAGAGATGGGGTTCTGCCGTGTTGGCCAGGCTGGTGTGAGACCCAGTCTCTACAAAAAAAATAAAATATTAGCTGGGCGTGATGGTGCACGCACCTGTAGTCCTAGCTACTTGGGAGGCTGAGGCAGGAGGATCTTTTACCCTGAGGAGTTTGAGGCTGTAGGGAGCCGTGATTGTGTCACTGCACTCCAGGCTGCGTGACAGAGCGAGACCCTGTCTCTAAAAATAATAACAGAAAGCATTTTCCTTCAGAATTTTGAAGCCAGGCTTTCTGGTGTTGTTATTGAGAATTTCTGAGCATTCTGATATATAGTTCTTTACATATGACCTGTCTATTCTGGAAGCTTAGTTCACTGTCTGATATTTCATGATGACATTTATTGAGACTAGTTATCCGTTCTAATGGGCCCTTTCAATCCAGAAAGTTATGCCCTTCAGTTGTGAAAAAATTTCTTAAATTGTTTCATTGAAGGTCTCCCCTCTGTTTTTGTTTTCTCTCTACAGCTGCTATTTAGATACTAGACCTCCTCTTTTCAATTTTCTTTTCCTTTTAAGAGAGGTTATCACTGTGTCACTTGAGCTGGAATGTAGTAGCATGATCATAGCTCACTGCAGCCTCCGCCTCCCGGGCTCAAGTGATCTTCCTGTCTCAACCTCCTGGGTAGCTGGGACTATAGATGCATGCCAGCACACTCAGCTAATTTTTAAAATTACCTGTAAAGATGGGGTCTCCTTATGTTGCCCAGGCTGGTCTTGAATTCTTGGCTTAAAGTGATCCTCCCATCTTGGTCTCCCAGAGCACTGGGATTACAGTGGGAGCCACCACACCTGGCCCTTATCTTTTTCCTTTTTTTTTTTTTAATTTAAATTTTATTTTATTTTGAGATGGAGTTTCGCTCTTGTTGCCCAGACCGGAGTGCAGTGGTATGATA